CCAAAACTAGTCCATTTACCAACTTCTTGATTTACCAACTTCTTGTTCCTCCTTGTTCGTGAAAAGACTCTAAGAAATCCTCAAATTTCATCTTTCATAAAAGAACATATCGAACAGCCAAAACTAGTTCATTTACCAACAAGAACATATCGAACGGCCAAAACTAGTTCATTTACCAACTTCTTGTTCCTGAAATGACTCTCATAAACCCTCTAAAGAAAAACTGTGAACGGCCGTATCATCGGTTTAAAGTTCGTAGTGTTGTTACCCCGTATCATGTAAATATATTATTAAGAATTAATAAAACTAGGCCTATGTAATTGTCGAACTGACGACCTCCACGTTTTTATCAGGATAATCTTACAACTGAGCTAATTGGGCAAAGATTTTATGCACATTATAGATCGTTAGCTGCTAATCCAGCCAATCGAGTTTCGTTTACGTAACTTTATGCATAATAAACTTAAAAAAGTCATTATCTTCTAAAAATCGCAGTGTTTTAACTCATATAATGAAAAGATATAATTAAAAATGTGGAAAATTGGCCCATGCAGGTCTCAAACCTGCGACCTTCGCGTTATTAGCATGACGCTTTAACCAACTGAGCTAATAGGCCATAGGTTTTCTTGCCTGACAATGCACTTGACTTTTTATTCTACCCTATCGTTAAGACGTGTCCCTCAGGCTGTCTGACACGATTTCCCTCCGGCAAGTTGACACTTGGCTTGCCAGCTTTCTCACGCGCTTTCCTTCCCACAAGTTGACACGTGGCTTGCCGAGAACTTTTCTCTCGTGAGAGTCGCAATACTGAATCTGGCCTTCAAAGTGAGTTCATTTACCTCCTTGTTAGTGAAAAGACTCTGAGAAATACTCGAATTTCATCTTTCGTAAAAGAACATATCGAACGGCCAAAATAAGTTAATTTACCTCCTTGTTCCTGAAATGACTCTCAGAAATCCTCGAATTTCATCCTTCATGTAAGAACATATCGAACGGCTCAGATCTAAAGAAAATTTTGAACGGCCGTATCATCGGTTTAAAGTTTGTACTGTTGTAACCCCGTATCATGAAAAGATATTATGAAGAATTAAAAAAACTTGTTCTATGGAATTGTCGAACCTACGACGTCCACGTTTTTAAAACAATAATCTTACAACTGAGCTAATTAGGCATAGGTTTTATGCACCTTATAGGTCGTTAGCTCTTAATACTGCCAATCGAGTTTTGTTTACATAACTTTATGAATAATAAACTTAAAAAAGTCATTATCTTCTAAAGTTCGTAGTGTTTTAACTCGTATCTTGAAAAGATATAATTAAAAATGAATGAAATTGGTCCATTCAAGTGTCAAACTTGCGACCTCCACGTTATTTGCACAACACTTTAACCAACTAAGCTAATAGGCCATTGACTTTCTTGCCTAACAATGCGCCTGACGCGTTATTCCACCCAATCATCAATACGTGTCCCTCAGGCTGTCTGACACGCTTTCCCTCCCGCAAGTTGACACGTGGCTTGCCTGCTGTCTCACGCTCTTTCCTTCCCAACAAGTTGACACGTGGCTAGACGAAAAATTTTCTCTCATGAGAGTCGAAATACTGATTTCCTTCCCAACAAGTTGACACGTGGCTAGACGAAAAATTTTCTCTCATGAGAGTCGAAATACTGAATCTGGCCTTCAATGTGAGTTCATTTACCTCCTTGTTCGTGAAAAGACTCTAAAAAATCTTCAAATTTCATATTTCATAAAAGAACATATNCATTTACCTCCTTCTTGTTCCTGAAATGACTCTCAGAAATCCTCGAATTTCATCCTTCATGTAAGAACATATCGAACGGCTCAGATCTAAAGAAAATTTTGAACGGCCGTATCATCGGTTTAAAGTTTGTACTGTTGTAACCCCGTATCATGAAAAGATATTATGAAGAATTAAAAAAACTTCGGTTTAAAGTTTGTACTGTTGTAACCCCGTATCATGAAAAGATATTATGAAGAATTAAAAAAACTTGTTCTATGAGTTTGTACTGTTGTAACCCCGTATCATGAAAAGATATTATGAAGAATTAAAAAAACTTGTTCTATGGAATTGTCGAACCTACGACGTCCACGTTTTTAAAACAATAATCTTACAACTGAGCTAATTAGGCATAGGTTTTATGCACCTTATAGGTCGTTAGCTCTTAATACTGCCAATCGAGTTTTGTTTACATAACTTTATGAATAATAAACTTAAAAAAGTCATTATCTTCTAAAGTTCGTAGTGTTTTAACTCGTATCTTGAAAAGATATAATTAAAAATGAATGAAATTGGTCCATTCAAGTGTCAAACTTGCGACCTCCACGTTATTTGCACAACGCTTTAACCAACTAAGCTAATACGCCATTGACTTTCTTGCCTAACAATGTGCCTGACGCGTTATTCCACCCAATCGTCAATACGTGTCCCTCAGGCTGTCTGACACGCTTTCCATCCCGCAAGTTGACACGTGGCTTGCCAGCTGTCTCACGCGCTTTCCTTCCCAACAAGTTGACACGTGGCTTGACGAAAATTTTTCTCTCATGAGAGTCGAAATACTGAATCTGGCCTTCAAAGTGAGTTCATTTACCTCCTTGTTCGTGAAATGACTCTAAAAAATCCTCAAATTTCATATTTCATAAAAGAACATATCGAACAGCCAAAACTAGTTCATTTACCAACAAGAACATATCGAACGGCCAAAACTAGTCCATTTACCAACTTCTTGATTTACCATATTCTTGTTCCTCCTTGTTCGTGAAAAGACTCTAAGAAATCCTCAAATTTCATCTTTCATAAAAGAACATATCGAACAGCCAAAACTAGTTCATTTACCAACAAGAACATATCGAACGGCCAAAACTAGTTCATTTACCAACTTCTTGTTCCTGAAATGACTCTCATAGACCCTCTAAAGAAAAACTGTGAACGGCCGTATCATCGGTTTAAAGTTCGTAGTGTTGTTACCCCGTATCATGTAAATATATTATTAAGAATTAATAAAACTAGGCTTATGTAATTGTCGAACTGACGACCTCCACGTTTTTATCACGATAATCTTACAACTGAGCTAATTGGGCAAAGATTTTATGCACATTATAGATCGTTAGCTGCTAATCCAGCCAATCGAGTTTCGTTTACGTAACTTTATGCATAATAAACTTAAAAAAGTCATTATCTTCTAAAAATCGCAGTGTTTTAACTCGTATAATGAAAAGATATAATTAAAAATGTGGAAAATTGGCCCCATGCAGGTCTCAAACCTACGACCTTCGCGTTATTAGCACGACGCTTTAACCAACTGAGCTAATAGGCCATAGGTTTTCTTGCCTGACAATGCACTTGACGTGTTATTCTACCCTATCGTTAAGACGTGTCCCGCAGGCTGTCTGACACGATTTCCCTTCGGCAAGTTGACACTTGGCTTGCCGGCTTTCTCACGCGCTTTCCTTTTCACAAGTTGACACGTGGCTTGCCGAGAACTTTTCTCTCGTGAGAGTCGCAATACTGAATCTGGCCTTCAAAGTGAGTTCATTTACCTCCTTGTTCGTGAAAAGACTCTGAGAAATACTCGAATTTCATCTTTCGTAAAAGAACATATCGAACGGCCAAAATAAGTTCATTTACCTCCTTCTTGTTCCTGAAATGACTCTCAGAAATCCTCGAATTTCATCCTTCATGTAAGAACATATCGAACGACTCAGATCTAAAGAAAATTTTGAACGGCCGTATCATCGGTTTAAAGTTCGTACTGTTGTAACCCCGTATCATGAAAAGATATTATGAAGAATTAAAAAAACTTGTTCTATGGAATTGTCGAACCTACGACGTCCACGTTTTTAAAACAATAATCTTACAACTGAGCTAATTGGGCATAGGTTTTATGCACCTTATAGGTCGTTAGCTCTTAATACTGCCAATCGAGTTTTGTTTACATAACTTTATGCATAATAAACTTAAAAAAGTCATTATCTTCTAAAGTTCGTAGTGTTTTAACTCGTATCTTGAAAAGATATAATTAAAAATGAATGAAATTGGTCCATTCAAGTGTCAAACTTGCGACCTCCACGTTATTTGCACAACGCTTTAACCAACTAAGCTAATAGGCCATTGACTTTCTTGCCTAACAATGTGCCTGACGCGTTCTTCCACCCAATCGTCAATACGTGTCCCTCAGGCTGTCTGACACGCTTTCCCTCCTGCAAGTTGACACGTGGCTTGCCGGCTGTCTCACGCGCTTTCCTTCCCAACAAGTTGACACGTGGCTTGACGAAAATTTTTCTCTCATGACAGTCGAAATACTGAATCTGGCCTTCAAAGTGAGTTCATTTACCTCCTTGTTCGTGAAAAGACTCTAAGAAATCCTGAAATTTCATATTTCATAAAAGAACATATCGAACAGCCAAAACTAGTTCATTTACCAACAAGAACATATCAAACGGCCAAAACTAGTCCATTTACCAACTTCTTGATTTACGAACTTTTTGTTCCTCCTTGTTCGTGAAAAGACTCTAAGAAATCCTAAAATTTTATCTTTCATAAAAGAACATATGGAACAGCCAAAACTAGTTCATTTACCAACAAGAACATATCGAACGGCCAAAACTAGTTCATTAACCAACTTCTTGTTCCTGAAATGACTCTCATAAACCCTCTAAAGAAAAACTGTGAACGACCGTATCATCGGTTTAAAGTTCGTAGTGTTGTAACCCCGTATCATGTAAATATATTATTAAGAATTAATAAAACTAGGCCTATGTAATTGTCGAACCTACGACCTCCACGTTTTTATCACGATAATCTTACAACTGAGCTAATTGGGCAAAGATTTTATGCACATTATAGATCGTTAGCTGCTAATCCAGCCAATCGAGTTTCGTTTACGTAACTTTATGCATAATAAACTAAAAAAGTCATTATCTTCTAAAAATCGTAGTGTTTTAACTCGTATAATGAAAATATATAATTAAAAATGAGGGAAACTGGCCCTTGTAGGTGGTCTCGAACCTGCGACCTTCGCGTTATTAGCACGACGCTCTAACCAACTGAGCTAATAGGCCATAAATTTTCTCGCCTGACAATGCACTTGACGTGTTATTCTACCCTATCGTTAAGACGTGTCCCTCAAGCTGTCTGACACGCTTTCCCTCCAGCAAGTTGACACTTGGCTTGCCGGCTTTCTCACGCGCTTTCCTTCCCACAAGTTGACACGTGGCTTGCAGAAAATTTTTCTCTCATGAGAGTCGCAATACTGAATATGGCCTTCAAAGTGAGTTCATTTACCTCCTTGTTAGTGAAAAGACTCTGAGAAATACTCGAATTTCATCTTTCGTAAAAGAACATATCGAACGGCCAAAATAAGTTCATTTACCTCCTTCTTGTTCCTGAAATGACTCTCAGAAATCCTCGAATTTCATCCTTCATGTAAGAACATATCGAACGACTCAGATCTAAAGAAAATTTTGAACGGCCGTATCATCGGTTTAAAGTTCGTACTGTTGTAACCCTGTATCATGAAAAGATATTATGAAGAATTAAAAAAACTTGTTCTATGGAATTGTCGAACCTACGACGTCCACGTTTTTAAAACAATAATCTTACAACTGAGCTAATTGGGCATAGGTTTTATGCACCTTATAGGTCGTTAGCTCTTAATACTGCCAATCGAGTTTTGTTTACATAACTTTATGCATAATAAACTTAAAAAAGTCATTATCTTCTAAAGTTCGTAGTGTTTTAACTCGTATCTTGAAAAGATATAATTAAAAATGAATGAAATTGGTCCATTCAAGTGTCAAACTTGCGACCTCCACGTTATTTGCACAACGCTTTAACCAACTAAGCTAATAGGCCATTGACTTTCTTGCCTAACAATGCGCCTGACGCGTTATTCCACCCAATCGTCAATACGTGTCCCTCAGGCTGTCTGACACGCTTTCCCTCCCGCAAGTTGACACGTGGCTTGCCTGCTGTCTCACGCGCTTTCCTTCCCCACAAGTTGACACGTGGCTTGACGAAAAATTTTCTCTCATGAGAGTCGAAATACTGAATTTGGCCTTCAAAGTGAGTTCATTTACCTCCTTGTTCGTGAAAAGACTCTAAGAAATCCTCAAATTTCATATTTCATAAAAGAACATATCGAACAGCCAAAACTAGTTCATTTACCAACAAGAACATATCGAACGGCCAAAACTAGTCCATTTACCAACTTCTTGTTCTCCTTGTTCGTGAAAAGACTCTAAGAAATCCTCAAATTTCATCTTTCATAAAAGAACATATCGAACGGCCAAAACTAGTTCATTTACCAACTTCTTGTTCCTGAAATGACTCTCATAAATCCTCTAAAGAAAAACTGTGAACGGCCGTATCATCGGTTTAAAGTTCGTAGTGTTGTAACCCCGTATCATGTAAATATATTATGAATAATTAATAAAACTAGGCCTATGTAATTGTCGAACCTACGACCTCCACGTTTTTAACACGATAATCTTACAACTGAGCTAATTGGGCAAAGATTTTATGCACATTATAGATCGTTAGCTTCTAATCCAGCCAATCGAGTTTCGTTTACGTAACTTTATGCATAATAAACTTAAAAAAGTCATTATCTTCTAAAAATCGTAGTGTTTTAACTCGTATAATGAAAAGATATAATTAAAAATGAGGGAAATTGGCCCATGCAGGTCTCGAACCTGCGACCTTCGCGTTATTAGCACGACGCTCTAACCAACTGAGCTAATAGGCCATAGATTTTCTCGCCTGACAATGCACTTGACGTGTTATTCTACCCTATCGTTAAGACGTGTCCCTCAGGCTGTCTGACACGCTTTCCCTCCGGCAAGTTGACACTTGGCTTGCCGGCTTTCTCACGCGCTTTCCTTCCCACAAGTTGACACGTGGCTTGCCGAAAAATTTTCTCTCATGAGAGTCGCAATACTGAATCTGGCCTTCAAAGTGAGTTCATTTACCTCCTTGTTCGTGAAAAGACTCTGAGAAATACTCGAATTTCATCTTTCGTAAAAGAACATATCGAACGGCCAAAATAAGTTCATTTACCTCCTTCTTGTTCCTGAAATGACTCTCAGAAATCCTCGAATTTCATCCTTCATGTAAGAACATATCGAACGACTCAGATCTAAAGAAAATTTTGAACGGCCGTATCATCGGTTTAAAGTTCGTACTGTTGTAACCCTGTATCATGAAAAGATATTATGAAGAATTAAAAAAACTTGTTCTATGGAATTGTCGAACCTACGACGTCCACGTTTTTAAAACAATAATCTTACAACTGAGCTAATTGGGCATAGGTTTTATGCACCTTATAGGTCGTTAGCTCTTAATACTGCCAATCGAGTTTTGTTTACATAACTTTATGCATAATAAACTTAAAAAAGTCATTATCTTCTAAAGTTCGTAGTGTTTTAACTCGTATCTTGAAAAGATATAATTAAAAATGAATGAAATTGGTCCATTCAAGTGTCAAACTTGCGACCTCCACGTTATTTGCACAACGCTTTAACCAACTAAGCTAATAGGCCATTGACTTTCTTGCCTAACAATGCGCCTGACGCGTTATTCCACCCAATCGTCAATACGTGTCCCTCAGGCTGTCTGACACGCTTTCCCTCCCGCAAGTTGACACGTGGCTTGCCTGCTGTCTCACGCGCTTTCCTTCCCCACAAGTTGACACGTGGCTTGACGAAAAATTTTCTCTCATGAGAGTCGAAATACTGAATTTGGCCTTCAAAGTGAGTTCATTTACCTCCTTGTTCGTGAAAAGACTCTAAGAAATCCTCAAATTTCATATTTCATAAAAGAACATATCGAACAGCCAAAACTAGTTCATTTACCAACAAGAACATATCGAACGGCCAAAACTAGTCCATTTACCAACTTCTTGATTTACCAACTTTTTGTTCCTCCTTGTTCGTGAAAAGACTCTAAGAAATCCTAAAATTTTATCTTTCATAAAAGAACATATCGAACAGCCAAAACTAGTTCATTTACCAACAAGAACATATCGAACGGCCAAAACTAGTTCATTAACCAACTTCTTGTTCCTGAAATGACTCTCATAAACCCTCTAAAGAAAAACTGTGAACGGCCGTATCATCGGTTTAAAGTTCGTAGTGTTGTTACCCCGTATCATGTAAATATATTATTAAGAATTAATAAAACTAGGCCTATGTAATTGTCGAACTGACGACCTCCACGTTTTTATCACGATAATCTTACAACGGAGCTAATTGGGCAAAGATTTTATGCACATTATAGATCGTTAGCTGCTAATCCAGCCAATCGAGTTTCGTTTACTTAACTTTATGCATAATAAACTTAAAAAAGTCATTATCTTCTAAAAATCGCAGTGTTTTAACTCGTATAATGAAAAGATATAATTAATAATTAAAAATGTGGAAAATTGGCCCATGCAGGTCTCAAACCTGCGACCTTCGCGTTATTAGCACGACGCTTTAACCAACTGAGCTAATAGGCCATAGGTTTTCTTGCTTGACAATGCACTTGGCAGGCTGTCTGACACGATTTCCCTTCGGCAAGTTGACACTTGGCTTGCCGGCTTTCTCACGCGCTTTCCTTCCCACAAGTTGACACGTGGCTTGCCGAGAACTTTTCTCTCGTGAGAGTCGCAATACTGAATCTGGCCTTCAAAGTGAGTTCATTTACCTCCTTGTTCGTGAAAAGCTTCTGAGAAATACTCGAATTTCATCTTTCGTAAAAGAACATATCGAACGGCCAAAATAAGTTCATTTACCTCCTTCTTGTTCCTGAAATGACTCTCAGAAATCCTCGAATTTCATCCTTCATGTAAGAACATATCGAACGACTCAGATCTAAAGAAAATTTTGAACGGCCGTATCATCGGTTTAAAGTTCGTACTGTTGTAACCCCGTATCATGAAAAGATATTATGAAGAATTAAAAAAACTTGTTCTATGGAATTGTCGAACCTACGACGTCCACGTTTTTAAAACAATAATCTTACAACTGAGCTAATTGGGCATAGGTTTTATGCACCTTATAGGTCGTTAGCTCTTAATACTGCCAATCGAGTTTTGTTTACATAACTTTATGCATAATAAACTTAAAAAAGTCATTATCTTCTAAAGTTCGTAGTGTTTTAACTCGTATCTTGAAAAGATATAATTAAAAATGAATGAAATTGGTCCATTCAAGTGTCAAACTTGTGACCTCCACGTTATTTGCACAACGCTTTAACCAACTAAGCTAATAGGCCATTGACTTTCTTGCCTAACAATGCGCCTGACGCGTTATTCCACCCAATCGTCAATACGTGTCCCTCAGGCTGTCTGACACGCTTTCCCTCCTGCAAGTTGACACGTGGCTTGCCGGCTGTCTCACGCGCTTTCCTTCCCAACAAGTTGACACGTGGCTTGACGAAAATTTTTCTCTCATGAGAGTCGAAATACTGAATCTGGCCTTCAAAGTGAGTTCATTTACCTCCTTGTTCGTGAAATGAGAAATACTCGAATTTCATCTTTCGTAAAAGAACATATCGAACGGCCAAAATATGTTCATTTACCTCCTTCTTGATAATCTGTAAAAAATATTTACACTTGTTAGAGGACACAGATTTTTATCCCTTTTTATTCATGGTTCTTATAACCAACTACTCTATTTTCCTATTAAAAAATATCGGCACGACATACATGACATTACTACTATGCATGAAAGAATTCATTTACAACATTTCATAAATGGTGCTATGGACTTAAATGTTCATAATGAACTCATTAAAACAATATTGTTATGAACAACATAGTGGAAAACAGATAACTTTAGTTTAAATAAAAATAAAGCAATGCCCTGATCTAACCTAAGGATCACTAAAAATAACATGAATGCAACTACCCTAACTTTGGTTTCTTGGCCTTGAACGCAACGTTCTCATCCGTAAATGGGTATCTTACCTTTACTTTAAAATAAGAGTAGCATGTGGTTTGAGTACTTTAATAAATACTCAGTAAGTAATCCCACTCTTAGGGTCGGAATATGAATAATGTGTAATATAGTGGGACGTATCC